GTCTCACCAATTGGAAGTGGTCCATTATGTTTTTTGGCTTCGCATCAAACATTTTTTTTCTTTTGAGTTTTTTTTTTTTGGTAAAAGGAGATAAGATGTTTTTGTATTGTATTTGGACTTATTTATAATGGGAGAATTTATTTTGATATGAAAACTGTGAAGAGACTTTGTGATGAGTGTAAATGAAACTTGACGGTTCGGATGAGAGAAGAGAAGAGGCGTTGTGTTGAGTGTAAATGGATGCTTGAGTTGATTAGACATGACTGTTCTGATAAGAGAAGAGAAGTAGCGTTTGTGCACTTTTTCGTTTAATTTATGAGTGTTTAGTTATTATGATTAAGAAAAATATAATTTTACAATTTAATTAAAACACAAAGTAATGTTTTATATATTATAAAATTAAATTATTTTACTTTAAAAAAATAATATGTTTCATATATGAATCTAATTCAACACCCGTTTATTTACACGTGTATAGCATGGGACTCGGATAATTTCGAACCGTTCCGAAAACTGAACGGAAATCACCCCAAATCGAAAAATAACCGTTTAACTTTCTCTGAACCGAATCGAACTAAAAAAAATAATTGGTACGGTTCTGGAGATTTGACAAATTTCCATAACGAGAACTGAACCGGACCGTCCCATATCGTACCGAACCGAAGAACCGAAATTAAGAATCGAATTATAATATTAGATGTTTAATTAATATATTTTATGTCAATTTTGATCCTATAAAATATAGTAATAACTATTAACCTTCAATTAAATTAAATTTCATGCTTAGTAATACTTGATCTACGAATTTGTTTCTACTTCAAAATAATTATTTAAAGTAATATGAAAGGTTAAAGAATATTTTTTAAGAAAAAAAATATTAAATTTTGTTTGAATTTGAAAATTTCAATATTAGTTGCACAAATTTAGTCTTAACTAAAACTTAGAGTTACTTCTAATGTTGATTTCAAAATAAAATATTTAATACGAGGTTTTTTTTTTCGGAACGATAGAGGAACTATTATAAATCAAAAGCGCACATATGTGCGAATCAAGATACAAAGCTCCCAACGAGAGAATAAAATGGGAGGACAGGTCAGAAGACCGCTTAGAATCCTGCTAGCAACGCTAGAATAAAACTCGCAACTAAAAGG